AGGAAGAAGGGACGGGGCACACCCCTCAAAGATTGGGGGGGGGGGGGCACAGTACAAGAGGAGGCGGCGATGGCGCGGAGACTAGATTCGATATTAGTGAGACACGACTCAAAGAGGTCAATAGTGAGGGTTCTGGGGTGTACAGCAAGGAAGACGTCGCGACAGTGCAGGAGTGCAAACAGTGCGTAGCGTCTAGGGAGCGCAGGTGCGTAACCAGATTCAGCGACAGTGCGCGAGGAAGGGAGGTCAGGAAAGAGGAAGGGCAGTATGTGGTGGCATAGAGTAGCAGTAGAGAGAGTGGAATAGCGCGTGATAACAACATCCAGAAACTCCTTCGCCGTCTTCACCTGAGTGAAGTGATACCCCTCAGTCTGCGGCAGGTGACGAGCGATAGTGAGTCGCGCAGCCGCGTCGTGCGCCCTCCACTGCGTGAACTCCAGGTGAGCCGTGCGGAACGCCTTCTGCTCGTCAGCAGTGGTAGTAGCAGGAGGTGCATCAGGACAGAGTGGGGCTGAGAGCTCACCGGTAGCATGCTCGTACAGCGAGACATTCTGCTAGATTTGACTCTGTAGGGAGAGATGGACCTCGATCAGCCACGACGGAAAATCCACCGCACGGCCCTCCGCATCGAAGTGCAGAGGGACTCAGACGACATAGCAGGAGGACATGAGGGGTACGAGCAGTAGGTGCAGGCATGGCAGTAGGTGCAGGTAGGTGCAATAACAGGCGTACAGTAGGCATACATTAGGCGTACAGTAGGCGAAGAGAGGGTGTACAGGCTTACACCAAGCCGAAACCCAAAATCTCGGGCGCAGCAGGCACGCCGGCGGTAGGCACGAACGCAGGCGGCGCGGGCAGCGCGAGCGGCGCGGTCAGCGCGGGTGGCGCGAGCAGCGTTGGCGGCGTGGGTGGCGCGGGCAGTGCGGGCAGTGCGGGCGGCTCAGGCCGTGCGTGCGCGCGGGCAGGGCAGGGGCTTGCGCTACGGGCGCTTTGGCGCGGGCGTGCGAGTGCGCTGGTGGCAGCAGCACGAGCAGGCAGGGCGACGGGGCTAGCGGGGCCAGCGGGACAGCAAGCTAGCAGGGCGCTTGGGCCAGCGGGGCCAGCAGGGCGACGGGCTAGTGGGGCAAATGGGGCTAGCAAGGTGACAAGCTAGCGGGGCCAACGAGGCCAGCAGGGCGACGGGCTAGCGGGGCCAGCGGGGAGACGGGGCTAGCAAGGCACGAAGGGCCGACAGGGCTAGCGGGGCGACGGGGCGACGAGGTGACGTGGCTAGCAGGGCACGACGGCGGCTTAGGGCAGGGCGCGACGGGCGCCTAGGGCGCTCTCGAGACGCTCTATGGGCGCGCTAGGGGCACGCTAGTTAATACTAGGGGCGGGCTAGGGTCGGGCTAGGGTAGGAGAATCGGAAGTGGCGACCTAACCTACTTATGATACCATGATGGGACCCGCGTTCAGCCGTCAATGTTGCAATTTCGAGCGCATGCTCGTGAAGCTGGCGACCGTCGAGGCGCTCCTGGGTCAGTTCTTCAAGTGCGATGCGGTCAACCATGGGGAGAGGTGTCGGGCAAGATTCTCAGTGGCAGTCTCAATCGTGGCTGTGATTGCTTACGAGAGAGCACTTGGACAGTAGTACTCGGCACCGAGGGACGTGTACCCCACCTCCCCAAAACTTGAATGAGTTGGAAGTGTTGGGCTGAGAAAAGCCCTTATGATCTTTACAAGGCTAAACTCTGAGTAGTAGTATTTGTAGTTGCGAAAGCGTTTTAATGACAAGTGTTGAACCACCTTGCGCTAGTATGTGAGGGCAAGATGAATTGATTCAAGCAAGAAGATACAAGCTTTTATAAGAGTACAAGGAATATGAAAAGGTGCAGCTAATAACTGTTTTACTGTTGCTGTTGCGGTTTGATACAGTGACGACTCGGGCAACTGCTCAGTATCGAGTCAGTTGTTTGTCCTTGCTGTCGTGCTTTATTTGTCAAGTCAAAGGTCGCTGACCTTTGACCTTCGCGTAACCTCCAGCGGTTGCTTCACTTGTCAACCTCCGATCGTTGACTTGCCGTTGTTCCTCTGTAGTTCGCCTCGTTTGTAGTTCGGTGTTTCGACACATCAGAAGCGTTAAGTTACTTGTTTCCAACAGGAAGCAGGGCCTCAGATTGCAGCCCTTTTACGATGATTGAGCCTTTTTTCAGCGTTTTTTTCTGACCCAAGGTTGAATTTCAGCCCCTTTTCAAGAAAACCCAGTAGTGTTCTAGTGTGAAAATGGGGTTTTGGGCTGTTTTTGGTTGATTGTCAGCGTACATCGTGTGACTACTCTGATTTTCAGCGTGACCCAAAAGAAATCTATGGGCCTGGTTGGAAGCGAAGTGTGTGAGGTCCGCCAAGGATAGTTTTGGAAATAGTTTTGAGTTACCGTATGCGCTAATGATACATACTAAGATCTCAAAGTTAGCGAACAACGGAATGCTTGACTAGAAAGGAGTTGGGTACAACTAGGAAACCCTAACATGTTTGTACTCACTAAGGAGCACCTCACTACAGCCTATCACAAACAACAATATTTGAAACACCCCCATAGGCTAAGTGAGGGGCATCAAAACAAGCAAGGCAGACAAACGGTCATAAGACCAGTCAAGACAAGAAGCAAAGCAAGCTCAGGGTGGATCTCAAGGACACCACACAAATTCCGAGCACAAGCAAGCGGCCACAAGGCCAGTTCAAGAGGTCACTAGGATATATATAGGAAAACACAACAAGCAGAGAAAGCACCAAGTCTACAGCAACCGAGGGCCTACCTCAACAAGCCCCAACTGCACACAGAACCTGTGGTGGTCACCAAGCGCCAGGGCCTTGGTGAAAACGTCTGCAGTGTTGGCCTCTAAGGCCACAAAGTCCAGGCGTGCCTGGCCGTGTCGCTGCAGCTCTCGCAGGAGGAAGTACCTCACGTCAATATGCTTCACTATGCTCTCCAGTCGAGGCTCTCGACAGAGGAGGATCATGGCCTTGTTGTCAGCGTACAAGGTCGGTGCAGAGCGAGGCCGCTCACCAAGGTCGGCGAGCAAGAAGGTCAACCAGAGAAGCTCCTGTGCCGCCATGGCACTAGCGTAGATCTCTGCCTCTGCACTGGAAGTAGCCATAGACGACGACCGTGTAGACCTCCACGACACAGCACCAGCTCCCAGACTGAAGCAGTAACCCTGAGTCGAGCGCTGAGTCTCCACGTCGTCAGCGTAGGAAGAGTCGCAGTGACCAGTCAACGCCACTGGCTGAGTCCCTCCAAGCACAAGCCCCATGCCTGATGTAGTCGCCAGGTACTTCGCCACCCTCACAGCAGCTGTCCAGTGGACATGACGGTGTCTCCCAGTCGCAACAAAGCGCGAAAGGATGCTGAGGGGAAAAGCGAGGTCCGGCCGAGTACAAGTCATCAGGTACATGAGGCAGCCCACCAACTCTGCGCAGGGACCAATGGACTCAAAAGGCTCGTCCGGAAAGGGACCAGTGAGTCTGTGGTCAACAGGAAGAGGTGTGGGCTGTGTGGTGGAGAACTGGAAGTCGAACCGCCGAAGGACCTGCTGCACCATGTGTGACTGAGTCAGTGTGATGGTGCGAGCGGCTCTGTCCCTGGTGATCTGCAGGCCAAGGTAGCGCTGCAGTTCACCTAGGTCAGTGCATTTGTGTCTCTTCTGCAGTTCGGAATTCACCTGAGCCAGAGCTGCCCTGTCTGCTGTGGCAAAGACCAAGTCGTCGACGTAGACAAGTATAAAGAAAGGAGTGGAACCAGTGCGAACAAACAGCGACGGGTCGGCAGAGGAAGGACAAAACCCAAGGTCACGAAGCGTGGAGCGAAGAGTGTCGTGCCACTCACGGGGCGACTGGCGGAGACCGTAGACTGGCCGTCTCAGGCTCCACTGGGTCCCAGGTGGGAAGGTGTCAGTGAAGCCAGGAGGGCGGCGCAACCAGATCTCCTCGTGTAGTCGGCCCTGGAGAAACGCAGTAGAGAAGTCAAGGGAGTGCAGCTCATAGTCTCGCTGTGCTGCTACGTTCAGTAACACACGAAGAGTAGTCATCTTCGGGGTCGGGGCGAAGGTCTGGAAGAAGTCAACTCCCTCACGCTGACTGAAACCCCTAGCCACGTAGCGCACCTTGAACACCGGCGGTGAACCAGGCGGCCGCTTCACCTTGAAGAGCCACATGCCATCGACTACGTTCGCCCTGGGAGGGGGAACTGCGTCGACGTAGGTGCCTGTGGATCTCCAAGACGCTAACTCTGAGGCCATAGCCGCTTTCCACTGTGAGGCCCACGCCCCTGGCACTGCCTCGCGGTAAGTACGAGGAGTCGGTATGTCAAGGGCGTCGGGGTCTCCCTCAGGGGATAGCAGCATGGCACAGACAGAGGGAGAAGCAGCTGCCTAGTACTCCAGCTCAGACTCTCTGTCCTCTAGGACGTCACAGCCAAGGGCAAACCCACCCCCGACGGACAGAGGACGGGAGGGAGGAGCTGGCACCACACGGGTGGTGTAGTCAAGGCGACTGGCGGCAGCAAACTCAGCGACAACGGCAGTGAGAGCCGAGACAGACGACGGAGGGAAACGAGAGTCGGTGACAAGAGTGGCGTGGACACGAGAGACAACAGGACGAACAGTGCGGTAGTAGTCAGTGACAGGAGTAGGGGGGAAAGGGAGAGAGGACGGAGGCGGAGACGGGAGAACGGACTCAGGAGGAGGACGACGAAGAGACGAACAAAGGAGGGCAGTGCGGAGGTCGGTAACGGGAGACGAGTGACGAGCACGCGGAGGACAGGGACGGACACGAGAGTGTGGGACACCAGGTGGAGGAGACTGCGGTGGAGGAGAAGACCAGACCGCCGGACTGTCGTCAGGAGGAGGAAACGTGGGACCAAACGCTGGAGGGGACGGAGTGTGAACAGGAGGAGAGGAGGGAAGACCAAGGGCCCGAAGGCCACTCACGGGTGGGAACAACTGCCGCTCCAGAGGGAGCTGCTATGGTCGTAGCTGCGGCGGCGGTGTCTGCTGCTGCTGCGGCTGCTGCTGCTGCTGCTGCTGCGGCAGCTGCTGCTGCTGCCGCTGCTGCTCCAGCAGGTCCAACTGCCGCAACTCCTGCCGCTCCCTCTCCAACAGCACCTGCTCCTCACGCTCACGCCGACGGGCCGCCTGGAGACGTGTGTCGTGGCGGTGGGGAGACGGAGTGGACTCCGCAGAACCAGTGTCTCCAGCTCCAGTCTCCTCAGAACCAGCACCTCCAGTGCCAGCGCCTCCAGCACCAGCACCCCCAGAACCAGCACCTCCAGGACCAGCACCCCCAGAACAAGCACCTCCTGTGCCAGCACCTCCAGCTCCAGCACCCCCAGAACCAGTACCGCCAGTGCCAGGACCTCCAACTCCAGCACCCCCAGAACTAGCACCTCCAGTGCCAGCACCTCCAGCTCCAGCACCCCCGGAGCTAGCGCCACCTGCGCCAGCACCTCCAGCTCCAGCACCCCCAGGACTAGCACCTCCAGTGCCAGGACCTCCAGCTCCAGCACCCCCAGGGCTAGCGCCACCTGCGCCAGCACCTCCAACTCCAGCACCCCTCGAACGAGCACCCCCGGACCGAGTACCGCCAGTGGCTGCACCTCCAGCTCCAACACCAACCGAGTCCACAGTAGCCTGTCGCGGAAGTACCGAAGGCTGCTGAGGGGACTGTGAGGAGGACTGCGGGGAGGGAGACGCTACCTGACGCGCGACCGAGGGTAGAGGGGTAGCGTGAGACACACCTGACGGGGCAGGACCAGGGGTGGGTGGGGGTACCGGAGGAGCGGGAGCAGGGGGAAGAGAGGGTGCGAGGAAAAGGGGGGGAGGGGGAACCGGGAGACCTCGATAGGGGTACCGGGTGTAGTAGGACACTGACTCGTCGAACCGGACGTCACGGGAGTCTAGGAACTGGTGGAGGGGCGGGTGGTAAAAGGACCAGTCGGCCGAGGCTACCGGGAAACCAAGGAAGACACAGGGGACGGCGCGAGTCGAGAGCTTGTCCGCAGAGGTGTGGCGGACAAGCGCAAGGCAGCCCCAGACACGAAAAGCTGACCCAACACCAGGGGACCCGGTCCAAAGACTGGTCGGTGAAGCCTCTGGCCGCGAGACGCGCGGCTGGAGGTTCAGCTGGTGAGCGGCGTAGCGAACCGCGTAGGGCCACAGAAAATGGGGCGCACGGGCATGAACGTGCGGGCGATGTCCATGACCAAGCCAATGCGGCGCTCAGCAACCCCATTCTGCTGCGGGGACTCCGGCAGCGTCCAGGACTGTACGATGCCCTGCTCGCCGCAGAATCCGGCAAGATTGCCTAAGCGAAACTCACCCCCACGGTCAGAGTGGAGACAGGAGACACGACGGCCACGAGTGCCCTCAGTGGCTAGAAGCCACCAGATCAGCGTAGAAGTCACCTCGGACTTCTTCGCGAGAGGAAACACCGTGGTGTACCTGGAGAAGTCGTCGACGACCACCAGAAAATAGCGCTCCCTCTCAGGTCCCTGCGTAGGTGCAGGGCCCCAGACATCCAAGTGGAGTGTCTGGAAGGGAGCAGTGGCCAGACGAAGGGAGGAGGAGTGCGGAGTGGCACGAAGACGGCCGGCGACGCAATGAGTGCACGGCGGCGCAGGCGAGGGAGGGAGCGACGGAAAGACGCGAGGGAGACCTGAAACAAGACGGTGACTAGCCATAGTGCGGAGGCGGGGGATCGACGCGTGGCCAAGACGGTGGTGCCACAAGACGGTCCGGTGGGTGAAAGACCGACACGAGCAAGACGCAGCAACTAGACCAGACACAGCAACCTGACCGGACACAGCAACCTGACCGGACACAGCAACCGGTGGGGACGCAGTAACCTGACCGGACACTGCTACCGGGGGGGACGAAGCAACCTGACCAGACGCAGCTACCTGCGGGGGCGGAGTGTGCAGGACGAAGAGACCTGAGTGGGGCTCTCTGGTGAACGTGGCAAGAACTGCCCCGGTGGAAGAGTCCGTACAGATCGCAGTCCTCCCGTGCGTAGGAAAAGTGACTGTGATCCCCCGGTCCTGAAGGTATCCAACACCCACCAAGTTCCGAGAGAACGAGGGGATGTAGAGACCAGTGAGGAAACCAGAGGGGACAGCTGGGCACGGGAGGGTGGTCGAGCTGCGAGCAACTGCTGGTCCTGAAGTAGGATCAGCCAGGGCAACTGGGACTGGAGCCGAAAGAGGTGTGACAGTGGTGTGGTCGCGGAAGAAGCACTGAGACGCGCCGGAGTCCAGCGTGAAGGAGAGCGATGCAACAGCAGTCGTCACGGCCGGGCTAGTGACTACACAAGCACCTACACTAAAAGCACAAGTACCGACACTGGCAACAGGCAAAGGTCCTAAGCTAGGTACACGTAAGCCAAGAGATCCGTACGTGACAGAATAAACAGCATCCATAGACATATCAAACACAGGGTAACCACTACGAAACAGACCGGGCCAGATCGGGGGAGCCGACTCAAGCCCAAAACGCTCATGGTAAAGGTCGTCGAGGCGACTGTAGCAGCGCTGTGCAGAGTGGTCAGGACGCCAGCAGGTAGTGCCAGCACCAGGGCCGGTCAGGATCCGATACTGGCAGGGGCCGACGTCGCGGCCACCGCGACGAGCCCCCCAGCTAGCTGTGCCGCTGCTGCAGCCAATGCGACCTGAACCACCAGGCCCCCACGGCTGCTGAGGGCGCCACAGCTGCTGAGGGCGCCCCTGCTGCTGCGGAAGCCACTGCTGAAACGGCCGCTGCTGCTGTCCCTGCTGCTGGAGAACCCTAGTGGACTCCATGATAAAATCTAGGGGGGTGCAGGAGCGGCAGGCTAGGAGCGACAGGAGCTAGGGACGGCTGCAGTGAAAAACGAGAACAACTAGGAGCGCCAGGTGAAACTAGGCGAGTAACTGCTGGAGCACGGAGCGAACTAAGCTAGGAGCGCCAGGTGAATCTAGGCGAGGAACGGCTGGAGCACGGAGCAAACTGAGCTAGAAGTGCCAGGTGAAACTAGGCAAGGAACGGCCGTAGCACGGAGCAAACTGAGCTACGAGCGAGGAGCGAGAACGGCTGGAGCGAGAACGGCTGGAGCTAGAACGGCTGGAGCACAACTGGCTGGAGCTAGAAACAGCAAGCTAGGGCTGGCTGGAGGTAGGAACGGCCGGAGCTAGAGATCGTAAGTGCGGCTGTCGGCTGCCGCTAGTAGAGCCACTGGCAGTGGAAAGTACGTGCGACAGTAGGGGCTGCGGTACTGACGGCTGCGGGATGTAGGCAACTGTGCAGGTCGTCCGGCAAGCAGGAACGCGGGCGACAGTTGCAGGCCCCCACCCTAAACCTTTTTTTTTTTTTTTTTCGTAAGGGTTTAATGTATTTATTTATTTTCTGGCACTAAAGCGCTCCGGGGCGCGCTGCCTGCAGGGTGTGCTGCCTGCGGGGCGCGCTACCCGCGGGGCGCGCTACCCGCGCGGCGCGCTGCCTGCGGGGCTGGGGCGACGGGCCAGGGCGGGCGCCTGGGCGACGGGCTAGGGCGGGCGCCTGGGCGACGGGCTAGGGCGCGGGCCTAGGCGACGGGCTAGGGCGGGCGCCTGGGCGACGGGCTAGGGCGGGCGCCTGGGCGACGGGCTGGGCCGGGCGCCTGGGCGACGGGCTAGGGCGGGCGCCTGGGCGACGGGCTAGGGCGGGCGCCTGGGCGACGGGCTGGGGCGGGCGCCCGGGCGACGGGCTGGGGCGGGCGCCTGGGCGACGGGCTGGGGCGGGCGCCTGGGCGACGGGCTGGGGCGGGCGCCTGGGCGACGGGCTAGGGCGGGCGCCTGGGCGACGGGCTAGGGCGGGCGCCTGGGCGTCGGGCTAGGGCGTGGGCCTGGGCGACGGGCTAGGGGCGCAGGCTAGGGGCGCGGAGGGCGCTAACGCGCGGAGGAGGAGGGCGCTAATGCGCGGAGATGGCGCGGAGGGCGCGGAGGCGAAGGCGCGGAGGGTGTTAGGGCGCAAGGGCGCGGAGGGCGCTAGGGCGCGAACTAGGCTAGGCTAGGCGAGAGGATCGACACCTACTTCTGATACCATCTCAAAGTTAGCGAACAACGGAATGCTTGACTAGAAAGGAGTTGGGGTACAACTAGGAAACCCTAACATGTTTGTACTCACTAAGGAGCACCTCACTACAGCCTATCACAAACATCAACATTGCGGCGACCGTCGAGGCGCTCCTGGGTCAGTTCTTCAAGTGCGATGCGGTCAACCATGGGGAGAGGTGTCGGGCAAGATTCTCAGTGGCAGTCTCAATCGCGGCTGTGATTGCTTACGAGAGAGCACTAGGACAGTAGTACTCGGCACCGAGGGACGTGTACCCCACCTCCCCAAAACTTGAATGAGTTGGAAGTGTTGGGCTGAGAAAAGCCCTTAGGATCTTTACAAGGCTAAACTCTGAGTAGTAGTATTTGTAGTTGCGGAAGCGTTTTAATGACAAGTGTTGAACCACCTTGCGCTAGTATGTGAGGGCAAGATGAATTGATTCAAGCAAGAAGATACAAGCTTTTATAAGAGTACAAGGAATATGAAAAGGTGCAGCAAATAATTGTTTTACTGTTGCTGTTGCGGTTTGATACATTGACGACTCGGGCAACTGCTCAGTATCGAGTCAGTTGTTTGTCCTTGCTGTCGTGCTTTATTTGTCAAGTCAAAGGTCGCTGACCTTTGACCTTCGCGTAACCTCCAGCGGTTGCTTCACTTGTCAACCTCCGATCGTTGACTCGCCGTTGTTCCTCTGTAGTTCGCCTCGTTTGTAGTTCGGTGTTTCGACACATCAGAAGCGTTAAGTTACTTGTTTCCAACAGGAAGCAGGGCCTCAGATTGCAGCCCTTTTACGATGATTGAGCCTTTTTTTCAGCGTTTTTTTCTGACCCAAGGCTGAATTTCAGCCCCTTTTCAAGAAAACCCAGTAGTGTTCTAGTGTGAAAATGGGGTTTTGGGCTGTTTTTAGTTGATTATCAGCGTACATCGTCTGATGTGACTACTCTGATTTTCAGCGTGACCCAAAAGAAATCTATGGGCCTGGTTGGAAGCGAAGAGGTCCGCCAAGGATAGTTTTGGAAATAGTTTTGAGTTACTGTATGCGCTAGTGATACATACTAAGAGCACGACAAGCTGTGTACCACAGTACCATGCCATTCTTTCTTGAATATTGTAAATAAATCTGTAATGCTGATGCATTTCAACACAAATTGATGGACCATAGCAAATGGAGAGGATCACCAAGATTCACTACAAGCCCTATCGTTATCCACAACCTTTACCATAAGCTCACATTACCCATGCTATTTTGCTACAAAGTTATTACCTCATGCCAGCAATTTCCGCATTATAGAATCTATTTGAGTTTGAGCTCCTCAAACGAAATTAAGACCCTGGTTTTTACCGTTATTTTTTTCACTTCAACGACCAGTGCCACAAACTTGGTGGGAGGAAATCCTTTGCCAGGCTTGTCGGCTATCAGAAGAATCTTCCACGTGATGGATCCAGTTTTGCTGTTAAACGTTTGAGATGCTTTAGACACAGACACCAACCGAAGGTTTGTCACCTGAAATTCCCATAGCAGAGGGAAAGAGGGAGAGGGAGGGAGGGATAGACGGATAGAGAGAGAAAGAGGGAGAGTGAGAGGGGGAGAGGGAGAGACGGAGAGGGAGAGAGGGAGAGAGGGAGAGGGAGAA